CGAGTCGGCGGCCCCGCTGGTCGCGGCGGCCCCGCTGCCCGAGGCGGACAACCTGACGCTGCGGTACCGGTCCCTGGTCTACCAGCTTAACTTTGACCAGACGCTGAGGAATGTAGACAAGGCCGGTTCCTGGCCCCCCCGAGAGCTAGTGCTAGTGGTCCAGGTGCATAACCGGCCTGATTACCTCAAACTGTTGCTGGACTCACTTCGAAAAGCCCAGGGCATCGACAACGTCCTCGTCGTCTTTAGCCATGATTTCTGGTCGACAGAGATCAATCAGCTGATCGCTGGGGTGGACTTCTGCCCTGTTCTGCAGGTGTTCTTTCCCTTCAGCATTCAGTTGTACCCCAACGAGTTCCCGGGCAGTGACCCCAGAGATTGCCCCAGAGATCTGCAGAAGGATTCAGCTTTGAAGATGGGATGCATTAATGCTGAGTACCCCGATTCCTTTGGCCATTATAGAGAGGCCAAGTTCTCCCAAACCAAACACCATTGGTGGTGGAAGCTGCATTTTGTGTGGGAAAGGGTCAAAGTTCTTCGAGACTATGCTGGCTTCATACTTTTCCTAGAGGAGGATCACTACTTAGCCCCAGACTTTTACCATGTTTTCAAAAAAATGAGGAAATTAAAGCAGCAAGAGTGTCCCGAGTGTGATGTTCTCTCCCTGGGAACCTATACTGCCCCTCGAAGTTTCTCTGGCATTGCTGACAAGGTAGATGTGAAAACTTGGAAATCCACAGAGCACAATATGGGTCTAGCCTTGACCCGGGATGCTTATCAGAAGCTGATCGACTGCACAGACACTTTCTGTACTTACGATGATTATAACTGGGACTGGACTCTTCAGTATTTGACTGTATCTTGTCTTCCAAAATTCTGGAAAGTGCTGGTTCCTCAGGTACCTAGGATTTTTCATGCTGGAGACTGTGGTATGCACCACAAGAAAACCTGTAGACCATCCACCCAGAGTGCCCAAATTGAGTCACTCTTAAATAGTAACAAACAGTACATGTTTCCAGAAACTCTAACTATCAGTGAAAAGATTATGGCACCCATTTCCCCACCTAGGAAAAATGGAGGGTGGGGAGATATTAGAGACCATGAACTCTGTAAAAGTTATAGAAGACTGCAATGAAAAATCAGTTACAAAAAGTGACAGTCTTCTATTTTTGATATTTGTACCAACAGGACAGACAATTGAATAAGAGTTTAGGGATTGGTTTCTGCTTTAATATGAAAAAAAATTCTTGTAAAAGGTGTACAATTATAGTACTCTTTTCCTTTTATGTCTGATTAAGATTTAAAATACAAGTTTTCATTTTGGGAGTTGGGTTTTAAAGCTCAATCTGTATCTGGGAAAGGTAATCATTACTGTGAGAGAAGAGAGGAAATTTTATTTAAATTGCATCTATTAATCTTTTTACCTGGAACTTTGTACACTTTTCCACTTTAAAACTTAAGTACAGCAAAATTTACTTAAAATTGTCATAGGAGTAGGAAGTATTACAATGAAATAAGTATTAATGGAACAAGCCCAGTTTCACTCTCCACACAGTTACTAGGAAGAGATTGCTTCGCTGGTTTTATAATTCAAAAGTTATGTTTGTTAAACACCCTGTCAAAACAATCAATTTCAGTATTACAGATTCCCGTATTATTGTGTTAAGATTTGCCTGTGCTTTGGAACCTTCATAGAGCACATTTTCTTTTGGAATGTATTTGATTGATAAAAAATTTTAACACTGTTTCACCTCAATGTAGAAAAACAGTGGTTTTGTTTCTTCCTTTTCTTTTAGTCTGCCAAAATAAAATACTCATTTTTTGCATAAAAAGGTTCCTAATCATTTTGCAGAACAAATTTTGTTTACTCTTTACACCAAAATTCAGTAAAGACATTCTAGAAGTTTTAAAGTTAGCAATATATCTTCATGTTTACTGTTTGTACGTTGAATTGAAATAATAAAGAAAACCCAGCTCTTGACAATGTATTTCCTTTGGAAGAAACTAGCCAGGCATAGATAATGAACAATAAAAAGCTGCTGTGTAAGTGAAATACAGCCACAAAGTTTAGTCATGCCAAAGTGAAACATGTTCTAGTGCCAGCTTTATTTTAACTGAAGTCATACTTTTTAAAAGAACAGATACAGTAAATAATAGGAAACAGGCTTAAAATTTACTCCACGTTTCATGTAGAAATTTCCCGTAACAATATACAATTCCATTCAATCAAAAGTTATAGACTATTTTCTGTGGAGCTATTACAATTATTTCAATCTACGAAAATTGTGTTATTAAGTGGACATTTTCAAAATTACTGCTTCAAACTAAGATTCATGTTATAGTTGAAAAATGCATCTGGTCATCTTAAGTGGGGGCAAATAGTTCTCTTGCTTTGTGAGCTAGCCACATTTATACTGTTCTCAGCCCAGTCTGGTTCCAGACTTTACCAAGATTATAAATGTAAAGAATAACAGCTTTTGGAGTTCTGATCTGACCTCCCCAGTTCAAAGGACTAAAGATATTAGGTAATTTCCAGGACTAAGGTAAAGCCAGAAGTTTGAATTGTAGCTGTTTTTCGAACAAATGTATCAGGCCATGGCCTTTGGGGTCAGAGATTAGGTCAACAGATATTTTCTTTCATCCTGTCCTAAAAATTTTTGTGAGAAAAACATCTATTAGGATTTTCTTCTGACCTCAAATATAAATACTATTCCACAAAATTATTAACTTAGCCACGGATACATTACCTACTGCCACCTTAAAGTCATTACTAAATAACCTGTATTAAATATATATATTTTTTGGTGACAGATAAGAACAGTAAAATATAGAATTGAAGCAAAAATACTAAATTTCATTCAGTGTATTTGTATTATAATTATTTGAATTATTAATATTGGTTAGTAAAGTTCTTTCATCTCTAAGAATCTCTATTTCAAGCATAAATACATCTTATTTAGTGATATTTCTAAACACAGTTTTGAGATTCTAAACACCCTGTCAAATTTCTAAACACAAGTTTATGAGTGACAAATGCAACTCATATTTCTAGTTACATTCTTGAGAGTTGCTTTTTGTGACAGACACAACTTAGTGAATGTCTTGAAACTTTTTATTAAAGTGTAAACAAGCCGAAAACAAACACAGAAGTAAATATATACAGGTTATATTAAAACTAAATGTTTAACTCTCAGAAATAATATACATCTCTCAGAGGAATCCCAAAACTTATCTCCCTAATTAAGGAAGCTGTATAAACATGCAAAAAAATATCTCCAGTTTCCCCATTAGAATCAAAATTGCAAATTTTAATTTCTTGAATATCTTCAGTTTTTAAAGAGTAAACAGAAACCTATTTTAAATCCAAAATATACTTTCTTGAATATCTTTGGTTTTAAGGTAGTAGTTTACAGAAATAGAATTTAAGTCCAAAAATTTTCTACTCTTAACCTTTAAATTCTGAAGAATTAATCCAAGTCATATAGCAAAGAATTCTGAAAACTGAATGCACAATGAGTCACATGATCTTTAATAATCTGCACACTACCATCCTGCATATTGGTTTCTTTTATGTTGTCAAAACCAGGAATATTCTGAACTGTTAATTCTTCCTCTTCAGTTATTACTGGTTCTTTTAAATTATCTTTTTCCTCACTTGAGTAAACACCTTTTTCTTCCATTTTTGACTCAGGTTGCTGAGACTTTCCAAATATTTGAGACACATCAAGAGAGTCTTGTTGCAAGTATTCAACTGAACCACAACTGTCTAATTCTAGTACTTTAACAGCTATAGATGAATCAGAAGCAGTTGTTGAGGTGGTAGGATGTTCTTTTTTTTTGGTTGGATGACTTCCTTCGTTGACTTTTTCTTCCTTTTCGTGAAGCTGTTCAGCAGAGTTACTACATTCTTGCAACTGTGTCAGAGAAACAACAAGTTAATAATTCTTTGAAATAAATAGAAAATTAAATTGTAGTACCATTGGGAATTTTTTTTTTTTTTTTTTTACGCTGTGAGGGAATAACCCTTGTAGACCTGCAGACAGGCTTCTTCCTCCTCCAAGTCATCCTCCACATGCTGCCAGTCATTTACTGACAATGCAGACCTGGCCTGAATTCTCTGGTAATTGTTTCAATGACTCATCTCCCTCAGGATAAAATAATCCTGGCTCACAAACCCTTTAGCAGTCATTCTTACTAGTAAGGGCATTCTTGAATTTTCTTGAATTTCTGTGATTCTTCAAAGCCACTCTCCCCCACAATTCATAAATGCCAATTGTGCTAGTTAACTAAATCATTTCTGTATTTAATACTGATGACTAAAAATAACCAAACTTAAGATTCAACTAAAAAGAATAAACAAACTGTGTGACATGGTTACCATGGTCCCTGGACTAACTTCCCAAATGTCAGTTTTTTTCTATCCCTCATTCGACATTTATTTTGGGATTAAATTAGATAATATATATGAAAATGAATTGCAGTGTTTAGCTGCTAAACTTTAGCACATAGTGAAATTCATGCAAAAAACTCTATTCCTCTTCCCAGCCATTATGTACACTTAGCTTAAAGTTTCAACATCAAAAATTAAGTTATTCATTAGGCTTTAATCTTGTCCTAAGTCACTATTCTATAAGGCCAATCAAAATCCTTACCTTTGTATGAATTTGAATCTTACTATCAGTAACCTGAAGAACTTCAATTAACGGTGAAGTTAGGGGTATTGTCTGTTGGAATGGAGGGCTCAGGACCTCTTCAAGAAATTCATTGACATTTTCTTCATTGACAAATAACCTTTCCTAAAATAAAAAGAAAATATATTCTGCTTAATAGGTCATACTTCACAGTGTTATATAAAAACAACTCATAAAAGTTCTCACATAGTTCAAGATTACACTTTTAAAATGTTTAATGTTATTTCTATGCTTTCTTGGCAAAAGAAAACAGTCTTGTACACAGCAAGAGTGCCCAGCCAGCATGGCTCAGTGGTTGAGCGTCCATCTAGGAACCATGAGGTCATGGTTCAATTCCTGTTCAGGGTACATGCAGTGATCCCCAGTGGGTAGTGCAGGAGGCAGCTGATTAGTGATTCTCTGTTATCAGTGATGTATTTCTCTCTCTCTCCCTCTCCCTTCCTCTCTGAAATCAATAAAAATACATTTTTAAAAAATAGCAAGAGTACATACACATATAGGAAAAAAACCCTAAAAAAAAAAAGATCAGTTACTCTTCTTCGTCTCTATTGAATCTAGGTATGTTTTCTCTCTTAGATAATCTAAATTAAAATTTGTATTTTCTTTTACTTTTTTCTCAATATTTTATGAGAAATACATCACCTTTTGTTTTTGTTTTGTTTTTTTTAATCCTCGCTCGAGGATATTTTTTTCATTGATTTTTAGGGAGAGTGGAAGAGAGTGGGAAAGAGAGAGAAACATCAACGTGAGAGAAACTCATTGATTGGTTGCCTCCTGCATGGGCCCCAACCAGGGCCTGGGCTAGGGAGGAGCCTGCAACCAAGGTATGTGCCCTTGATCAGAATTGAACCTGGGATCCTTTAGTCGTAAGGCCAGCACTCTGTCCACTGGACCAAACTGGCTAGGGCTTACAACACTTCTTAATGAGTCAGCTAAGAAATACACATGACAGGATCTATTAAAATTTTGTGTGAACTGTTTGCCTTCTAGTTCTTGTTCAGGTAAGAGCTAACTGTAATATTTTATGTAAAAGAAGTATATTTTACTTTTAAGCAATGAGAAAATCCAGTGTGACACCAGCATATAGCTATTTATAAGAATGAGATAGTTTACCCAACTATTAGGAAATGCAAAAATCACATTCACAAAAATCCCAAACACAAAGCAATTTCTTCATATTTATGTCAAGCAAATACAGAAATATTGTTAGGACACTAAGAGAATAACTATATTCATAAAATAAGTTCATTTTTGCCCAAAGTAAAAATATTTTCCTCTGCACTTTCATATAAATAAATTTAATAAGTTCATTATTTAGTCAAAATGAGGACAGAAAATATGAAAGAGACAAGTTTCAAGTTTCCTTCTATTAAACACTGTTTGAACTTGGGAACACCTACCAAACAAGTGAACCTTGGGAACAGAAAAAATTTATTTTTGGAGTAATTTGCCTTGCTATTATTTGAAGATCCAGAATAACACTATATTATAAAAACGCCCCCATCAAAAGCATTTCTAAGTTTCCTGTCTCTGGAAAAGACTTACACATTAATTGTAAAAATATATACCAAATAGTTTAGTTTTTTGGTTTACCCAAGGAAAAATAATATGTATTTAGAATAGAAATGGTTATGATTAAAATGTAATTTGCATAAAATTGTCTTCACATTCTGATGACTGATTTTACTATAAAAGATACTGTATTCAGTGGAACTAAAGCTTTAGGAAAATTCCCAGTAAATATTTAAGGCTTATATAAATATATTTTATAGTAACAATTCTGAACTTGACAGCCACAAATCAACCTTACATTATAATTATTTTCATATAATATGTGTAATATATCTATTATCTACCCACCTACTACTCTTGTGATTTTTCCTTATTTATTAATTTTCAAGAAAGAGGAAGGGAGAGTGAGAGAGAAGTATCTATGTGAGAGTGAAACAACGATCAGCTGCCTCCTGCTTGCCCCCAATCTTTCCCAACCAACTGAACCACACCAGCCAGAGCTACTCTTGTGATGTTCTAGAAATTTAATAAGAGCATGGTCCAGTGACAGTGAACTGTAAAATAAAAAACATTAGGATTCTGTCAGTCTTAGGAAATGTGATTACTAATGGAGAAATTATAAATCTATTTCGGGCTTCAAAGATATAACACAGTCGCCATAATCTCATTGTCTGGTTTCTTTGCTAAAATAATGTCATCATACTAGAAAATCAGATTAAAATATATTTTTTAGTATTTTCTCAACTGTTTGTCAACAAAGCTTTCTTCCCATATTGTGAGTTATTTTCACATTTATTAAGACAATTACAGGAAAATGACTGCCCTTTCCTAAATTTTCCCTTTGAATGACATAAACAGATAATCAATTTCCTATTTTATATTACCACAAAGTATTTTACCTAGCCCTGGCTACTTACTTTACCACTTTTAGAAGCATATAATCTGTGTAATTTGTGTTGTTTCTGGGAATTAAACCCTTGAATATATTAAAAGAGCTTTAAAATTTACATGTAACACTGATAGACCTCAATCAAAACCACGAATTGTTCATTTGTGAGTTTACAAAGTTCTTTCGAACTTCAAATTTAATTTTTTTCAGTATTTGTAGTTTATATTACACTGTTAAATGCCAGCCATTGTGCAAAATACTAGATGATTAAAACAGATGCAAAAAGAGATGTAATTTCAATGTAACATAATGCCCACAGGAGGACAACCCTACCAAGATCAGCCACTAAAATCAAGCAGCACTATATGGTCAAAGGGCAGGGAATTTATTTAGATTGACACCTCATTCTGAATTCATTTTTCTACATAAGAAATGTGGCTAAGTGACTCTTGCTCTCTGGAAGTAAGCTGTTTATTTTCTAAAGTTGGACAGTATTACTTACCAACTTAAAATATGGCCCTAACAGAGTGCCTCTCAAACTCTAATTAGTCATCAACCCCTTTGAGAGTATGACTAAAGTTAAAGCCCTTCTGCCCAGAAGAAAGCACCCTCAACTTTCTGCATACAATCTGAAAGGTTTATGGATTTCTGGGAATCCATTCATGGATTCCGGGGAAAAAATGCATTAAGGACAATTTTGAAGGTTTGAAACCCACCCACCCATCAGAAGGGATGCGTGTGTTTCTTCAATATGCGTTTAACGTGCACTGACATCTTTCATCACGTGTATCAACTTCAAGTAATTTCGAGAGAAGTTCTAATGAAAAACACTTTGTTCAGAATGCACTGAGGGGATGTAATTTTAAAAGTAGGATGGAATATTTCAAATACTAAGACTCGAGAAAGAACTGTTACCTCCAAAGAATCGTTGTTTAAACCATAATACCACTCTCTCCAATGTCCATAGCACTCTGAAGATTTGGCCAGTTCTATTACTGCATTGTTTGAAGAAATGCTAACCACTGGTTCTTTGATACTCAATTTATTTTCTGGAGCAAACTGCAAAAAGAAGGAATAATAAACTAAGTCTTGGGTGGAGAAGCACAATTTGTACCGGAGGGAGCTCACATCCCCTTGAAGACTTTGCGGTTGGATCCGAGGCACTAGGATAAGCAGAGTCAGGGATTCTTCATCCTGACGACACTGCAACGGAGGACACAGAGGTCTCCGGCTGTCTGTCCCGGGACCATCCATGGCTGGATCGGAGGGCTCCCTGCCCGAGTCTTCCCGGGCCACGCGGGTCCCGACGCTGAGACCTCCGCACACACTCCCTCCTCCCGCAGGAGGGCCCCCGTCTAGGTCCCCGGGCGAGCTCCCAGTTCCGGGAAGCGGTTTCTCCTCGATCCCGGCAGTCGCCACCGCTTGCCCGCCGAAGTCCCGTTCCGGTTCGGAGACAAGTTCCTCCCCTGCGGCATCCGGCGTGGTGATCCCGGCGTCCTCTTCCCCAGCGCGACCCTCAGCCGGGCCCGTCCCTCCTTCGCGAGCGGAAGTGCAGCCCGCGCTGTCAGTTCCGGCCCCGGCGGGCTCTTCCGGCGGCGCTAGGGGCTCCCGGCGCGCGGCGGACGGCGCCACGGGCAGCGTGACCACCAGCTGCCGTCGGGCCTTGTTGAACTGCGCCTTGCCGCGGCTGTCGTCCACCGGGTACGGGAGCGAGAGCCGCAGCTGGTAGTCGGGTTTCCTCGAGTCCAGACACAGCAACTTTCCCGTCACCTCCAGCGCCGCCTGCTCGGCCGAGCGCAGCAGCGGCAGCTCGATGGTGACCACCAGCTCCTGG